CTGATTTTTATAAGAAAAAAAAAGCAGAATGCTATAAATGAAATGAGCCAAAAAAAGGACAGTTTTAGCAAGAGGACATGTAAGTTTTGAATGGCATCATAAACAATGTAAAGTGAATACTGTTTTAAACTCTACAAGAGAAGAACTTGAGGACGTCTTCTCCCTCTGAACTTGAATAAGTTTTATTCAAAAGATACACATACTGGACACAGCCCATCAGTCACATAAGGCGTAGTACCTTTCCTAGCATAGTCTAGAGTCCTGGAGAGGGGAATCAAAGAACAGTAGAGTTTTGATACACTTTGAGCTGAGGATTGGGTTTGGGGGAATCTGTCTTCAACCTGACATCTACTGTGGGAGAACATGTCCAATGAAGTCATTGATGCCTCCAGGGTAGCTTGGACAGTCATTAAAAGTCCAGTGCGGAAGAAATAAAGGACCAAGACAGAATAGTGGAAAGCCCCAAATCGCAATTTCCCGAAAGCTTGCGCCGCACTGTGTACTCTTTACCAGCTTTTCTTCAGACTGAAGCTATTAGGTCAAGCATGCTCTTCTGGATTCTTCCAAAGGGCTTTGGAATCCCTTGGATGCTGCAACTCATGCTAGCTCTGATGAGCAGCACCGATCTTAATCAGAGGTATGATGTGTTCTGTTACTGAGAAAACATGTGGTTTCTCGGCAAGAGTCATAAAGTAAATTTACACTTGACAGTAAACTTCTGAGAGGTAAAGGGGACATAAAGCTGCTTTAGTATTGTTTTGATTCATCCCAAGGAATTTAAGCAATGTTTTTCAAACACAAGAAACACACGTATAGGGAGCCAAGAAGAACTACTTCCTTCTTTAGGCATGGTACAGAGGTAAGATGAGTTAGAATAGAGTGTATGTGTGTTTAACCTAAATTGGAAAAGTTTCTAAAATGCGGGCAGTAAATACTTATTAAGATGTTCACCCTGAAGAAAATTAAAACAGCAGAATGCATGTTCCTCAAAGCACGTCAGGTATTCCATAGTGCGTTCCCCAGCGTAAGCCTGTGTTCTCTCTGATTTTATAAACACTTGCAGAATATCCAAACATCTTTCTCCATCACCAGTGCCTGGGTCTCTTTAGAGTCACAGCTGGCTAACGTGCCACCCACTACAGCTCAGGAATTCTGGATGGAAGTTTTCTTATTTATAAATTCAGTTATTCAGACCCTTCTGGTTATTTCAGTCTTTTTACTTTACCATAAAAATCTTTAGAAATGTAGGCTGTTAAAATAGAAACAGGCAGCTGATACCCATATACATTCAAAATGTTCTAAAGCTCCATATACATATTGACATATAAATTCTGGTGCTAACCACAAAAGCAACAATTATCAAAACTGACTTTTTAAGATATTTCTAGTAAAGGGGAAGCACAGAGAGGCTTAAGGCCCATTTCTAGCCCTGCTTGAAGCAGTTCCATTACTGTTGTGGGACAATGGTCTTCTTCCCTGTAAAGATTTGTTACTTGTATTTTAATAAAATGCTGATTGGCCAGTAGCCAGGCAGGAAGTATAGGTGGGGCGATGAGAACAGGAGAATTCTGGGAAGAGGAAAGGCTGAGTTTTCACTTGTCATCCAGACACAGAGGAAACAAGATGAGAACACCTCGCTGATAAAAGGTACCAAGCCACATGGCTAACACAGACAAGAATTATGGGTTAATGTGAGTTATAAGAGTTAATAAGAAGCCTGAGTTAATAGGCTAACCAGTATATAATTAATGTAGAACTCTGTGTGCTTCTTTGGGACTGAACGACTACGAGACTGAGCTGGACAGAAACCTATGTCTACACATTTCTCTAGGAGAACCACTCTTTATTTATTTTTATGTAGTTGTGCTTCATGGATGGTAAGAATATGTTATACAAGGTTTAGCTGTTTAGTCAGTACAAAATCATTGAGTGCATGCTATGTATGTGGCCACATGTCAGTACAGGGCAGGGTACTGTCTATAAGAGTGGGCACTAAAGCCAATAATCAGTTACTAAGCGTCTTTTCTACTGTTAGCTTCTCTATCTACCAGCATACCACTTTGAAGTTTATAACTACCTACCATCTTGAACTCAAACTGTTTAAAAATAAACTCATCAACATCCTAAGATTGATTTACATGTCTGTACATAAATATGTCTCTGTCAATGACTTCTCATTTCCCAATAGTTGAATACAGAAATTTTGGAATATATTTTATCCTTTATTTCCTTTACTTTCCATTTCTAAAGGTATATCAAAACTTAATACTCATCTAATTTAATCTTGGGTATTCATTTATTGGATTCCAGTCACCCTTAGCCTAGTCTTGGGCATACTCTCTCTTTTTTGGCTTGTTTTATTTATTTTTTATTAGTTTGCTTTGATTTTGTTTTGAAACCATGTTTCAAGTACATCAGGTGGGCCTTGAACTCCCTATGTAATGGAGAATGACCCTGAACTACTGATCTTCCCATCTCTGTGTCTCAAATGCTGGGATTCTAGACTGTTCAACCAGACCCTACAAAGTCTCATCTTTTAAAGACTAAGTTGGATTCTGGTTTGCAGACAGATTTCCTAATTTGTAGGCAATCCAGTCAGATCTACGTTAATTTCCTAAATTACATTTAATGAAACAGCCTCCGGTGGTCTCTCCGTGCACTGGTTTTGGTTCTAAGATCTGTTCCTTGTCCTTGAAGGTCTACCTTGTCTCATGTGGCTCCCCATCTTGGTGTGACCTTTCCTCTCATTCACAGACAAGTTGCCTTTCAAGACTCAGATCACAAGTGAGGAACCACGTTTTGGTTTTTTTTTTTTTCCTTAACTCTCAAGGAGATCCCAGTGTGTCCCACACTGCTTGGCACTATTGTTAGTTCTTAATTGTCTTCTATATACCCTCTAGATTATAAACTTCTATATTTCTTTAATATTTCATTTCCCACAGAATTAGAACACTGCTGTATATGTTGGACATATTTGCTGCTTGGCAGATCCAAAGTCACGCTATCGCTAAAGAAAAAGTCTTATCGTTTTCAAAACCATTTGTAAAGAGAACTAAGCAACATTTATTGTGTAAAACAAGATCTGTAAGGGCATGGTCTCAGAAGTAAGAAAAGGTTGAGCCCTTATTATTGACTCAGAAATGTCTTTTGAATTATCAGTGTGCTTAAAGTCCATTTCAGTGCAACTTCAATCAGACATATAATTAGCAACATTTGTTTTGCAACTCTGGTTTTCTGGTTAACCTCTGCAAACCCTTGTTCTGTCTCTTTTCTGTGTAGCTCTTCGCCTCTGAAAAGGCAGGATCTCTGGGAATGAGATGCATCATAGCTTCAAGGTCTCACTGGGGGCTGACTTTGCCTCTTAACCCTTGGCCTTCTGGTTCCATGAAGAAAAGGGACTGGAGAATTCATGGGATGAAACCCTTATAATATGGGATGCGATCTTAAAGTCCTACCTCAACTTGATATGCCATGCTTTGTTGACACCCATGGGAGGCCTGCCCCTTTCTGAACAGAAACAGAAGGAGTGGATGGGCTAGGGCAGAGGAGAGGTTGGAGGAAGGATGGGAGAAAAGAAGAGAGGGGAAACTGGAGTCAGGTTGTAAAATAAATTTTAAAAAATGTGAAACAGAGCCTAAATAGGTCAGATGATTCCAAAATGGCAAGGAAAATACTAGTAAAGGACTTCTGATGCCAATATTCCCTAAAATCAGGGAGTCAATTCCAAGTGGGGGAAGAAACTTACAGTTTCTTCTCATATGAAGGATTAAACGAAATAATATAACAAAATTGAAAAGAAATTTTATAAAATATTTTTCAGTATTCATCTGTCTTTTAAGTAGGTGTTTTAATTCTTCAAAGGTTGATGTTTACTACAGTTTCCTTTAAATTTATGTATCTACTAGTGATAGGTAAAATTGGCATTTGGATGTGTTTTCTGCATAATCACAAAGAAGGCTGGATAACGAGTCCACTTACTCTTTCCCCCCATGGGTTGAGCATAAATGGTTGTCTGCTGTTTAGTAGGATGACTATGCTTAACCCTCAACAGAGCACAGGAGTGTGGGGAGCACAGGAAAAGTGGGCAGAGGATGGGAAACTCCATAGCAATCTTGTACAATGTCTCATAAGTGGTAATGTACACCTAAAATACAACATTCACACTTGGAAAATTTGAGAACACAAATTATTAGTTTCGGTAGTCTTTAGGGGATTACTACCAAACTTTAAAAGTCTAAAAGAGAAATCAAAATACACATCTTCTTCTGTGAAATAACAATTACGGACTGGCACATCACTGTTCTATCTGAAACAAGTCTCTTTTGCTAGGAAAATAATGGGCTCTTAAGATTAAGAAACAGAGAGACGTCTTAATTAACTCATAAAGTTTTTGACATCAGTTAGGTAGGGTGCAAAGCAAATGGTCTCAACTATTCATTTTGTGAAGTGGTTAAAAATTAAATATACTCTAACTTTTGTTCTAAAATGAACTTAACCAAAGGTTCACAGGATTAAAAGTGTGTCAGCAATTCAATATAGTTTACGGTCATCCTTAGACAACACTTAGCATATCACCCAAATACCAAAAAAAAAAAAATCTAGGCCCCCAGCAACTAAAGTAATAGTAAGTGTCTCTGGGCATCCCATCTCCTGTCGTATCCTTCTTCATGAATATGGGTCAAGTATCCAAGTAACTCGAGAATAGCAACAATGCAGGAATGCTTGTCAAAGCAACACAGTGGCTGAATACATACTGAAATACGAAACTTTCTTGAGGTCAGTCTAGTAATGAAACAGCAGAAATAAGTAACCACTTCCTCTGTAATTCCAAGGAACGCTGTTCTTTAACTTCATGTCTGCTTCCATCACCAACCCACAGAATATGTTTTGTAGCACAAATGAGTCATTCAGTTAATGTTCCATTCATAAAGCATGCTGCAAATATTTTCCATTTTTTTGTGTGTGAAAGAACTGGACAACAACAGAGCCTGTCTGCTTACCATTTTCCTTCTTCATTTTCGTATTGTTGAACGGTGTATCCAAACATGTCCTCCACTGGGCCACTGAAACTCATTGAATTTTTCACATCAACGTTGAATGAAGTGCAGATGCCTAGAATAACTGAGAGAGGAAAGAAAGTTCAGTTCCACACAGCTAAGGGAGAACACATTGCATTTGGGGTCCTGGAAGGCATTCTTAGGGGGACCAAAGAAAGCTGTGTTCATATGAAAAAGAGCAATTGAAACACAAGAAAGTGAGAACTCAAGGGGAGCTCTGGTAGGATGTTATTTATTGAGCACCTATAAGATGGTTTTTAAAAATGTTTGGAAATTAATAACTATACCATTCCCTGTAGTAAAATTTCAGGATTCAGTGGGAATGACAAAAATTAAAAATGACTAAAGAGGTATTTTGAAGATAACGTTCCCGGAAGCGATCCCTCCAGTACAATGTGACCAATAGTGACATTGAACAGCTCCCTTTCCGCGCTGCAAATTCTGAAGATGCAGGCAGTTGTGTGTAAGCCTCCCCAGCAGACCTTTCTCCTGTTTGTTTCTGAAAGGAAACTGCCTTTTCCTTCGGCTCTGAAGTGTCCCTTTCCTCTGGGTGATCTTCAGAGGACCGTTTCTACTCAGGGACGGCTTCCTAGGCAGACCTGAGATAACTTCTCTGTCTCCTCAAGAAACAAGCATTTGATGGGAGTTTGTACTTATACAAAAAAGCCTGCTTGCAACTGTATCGACTGTGGTAAACTCACAAACGTTTTGGTATAAATGAGATAATATTCTCAGTAGCCCATGCCCAGTCCACATTATATATACAATGAGAGTTTATCTCTTTAATTTCTCTGTGAGCCAGATATAAGACAAGATTTTAAGAAGTGTGACCACATACAGAGGTTCTAAAATCACAAGTTCAGATGGAGGATACTAAATACTTCATTTGGTCCTAGTTTGGAAGAACAGACTTACAAGTTTCAAATTCCCTGTCCTGAATAAAAGCAACAACCCTTATTAAAGAACATCATCTTATACAATAATAGCACATTCTAAGGCATGTTCAGAGGTGATTAACATTCAATTCTCAAAACTAGATTCAGTCACACGGATTCTGGAAACTTCTCTATTCTAAAGATGGAAGACAGGTAACATACCAAATCTCTTAGCTCTTATCCACTCTAAACTTCTTCCATAAATACGCTCTAAATCCAGGTTGCTGTGACCCATAACCTTCAAATTACGTTAACAATAGTAAGTGTTTATTTGATACACAGAAATCTAATTTAGAGAAAACATTTCCAGAGGAAATCAACCATTCTTTCCATTTGTAGATTAATCGATATAGCCTCTCTTTATCTTCTAAAACCTCTTCTTTGATTTTTTTGAAGAAACTTCCTACCAATATAACTATTAAATACTATTTATATTATTATCTATGGGAGATGTTCCCCCTGGACCAGGAAAGTCTTAAAACTGAGGACAGTTTTACTCCTCTTTTTATCCTTCATAAAAATCTGGTGCGGTTCCTCTCACACAGATGGGCAGTAACATGTTTATAGTCTGAGAGATAATGTGTTGCAGAGGGAAGGGTGCCAGCTGTGGCTGGAGATGCACTGGCAGCCATTCCATCCGAGCAAAGCAAGACTTGTTAACGTCCTAAGGTAAGGGGAAGATGGGACTTGGCAGGGAGAAGAAAAATTCTACCCAGGATTTGGAAGGGTCTCGGAGCGTAGTAAGAGACACAGGACAAATATGGTCGCAAGATCACAAACCAATCTTCCTGGCTGGCATGAAGGAAGTAGACAAAGAGTAGACAGCCAGGATACATCCTTTTATGTACATTTCCTCTTCATTCCTCAAGGGAGACGGAGCACAGCTGGCCACCATTCCCACATCCTCTTTTAGATGTTGGGAGGTCATTTTATGCAGTGTTAGCCCTCTGTTCCAAGCTTTGAGTACATGCGTTTAACCTTTCTTCTATGGTTTTGATGTCTTGAACGGTTTCAATAGACTACTTTTTTTTCCCACAAGACATACACAAAATATCGCCTCCGCAGTGTGGTTTCTCAGCCATGGCGCTAAAGGCAATTTTGTCATGCCGAAAGGTGCCTCGCAATGTCTATGGCCCACTGCGCATGATGCCAGTGGCCTTCTGTGAGTTTTCACAATCAACGTTATCTCTAGACACTGCCAAAACCCTGTGGAGTCAAAATTATCCATAACTGAAAACAACTGTTGAAGAGACATAAGGATCTGAAATCTCCTACCAAGGACTGTACACCAGCTGTGGTCCAGAGATCAGAGGATGCCTAGTCCAAGGCAAGTGAGCATCATCAAGAGAGCTTGTGAATCTCGTGTCCCACCCAAATTTCAAGAACCAAATCTCCATGGGATTGTATCCCTTTTACAGTTTAAGAAGTATATCTGTATGACATGTTGTTTCCTCGTCACTACATCTACACAGGTAGAAGAACTGATCTACATTCAAAGAATTCCCCTTTTAGACAAAATGGGAAACACACCTTTTTTGTGGGGGGGCCTCAGCGTCAATTTCACTTGTTTGAAGGATTTCTTTATCCATCACTTTATCATTTGGGGAGCGGGGTTCTCTCCTAAAGGCCACTTGAGCACTCAATATTCTTGGACGTGTCTATGCTACATGTTGCATGGAATGCCTGAGGGTGGGCGCTGCATTGATTTTCCCTGTCCTTAGAATTCTACAGGCGCTTTGCTTAAAGTAATTTTAAATCTGCCCCTTGTATGCTTTCTGAGACACCATGGAGCCTGTGGCACTGGAGATGACTTTTTTTTTGTTTTTATAAAAGTAGTTTGCAACTTGTCTTTTTGATTTAAAGGAGTGAAAGCAGTGTCTCATAACTTTTAGTTCAATGCTTATTTTATTAGAGTAGATTTGCTTGGAACTTTATGTTCTAGAAGTAAGACAAAATGGCGCTTATCTCAACGAAAGGGAAAAAAAACAAACAAACAAAAATCATGAAACAAAACATAACAGTCTGAAAGGCTTGGGAGTCCAGATAAGGAAAATATTGAAAGTAACCAGAAGTGAGTAAGTCTAGATTCAGATGTCTAAAGAAAACGCTAATCTCACAAGTACCGCTGAGAAGTCTTTTTCTAACAATCACCATGTGCTGTGTGCTGTTCCTCCTTTTCAGTCTACTAAACTCCTCAAAAGTCCTGCCGATACCATGCTCATCAGCATCACGTGAGTGAGCGAGAGCATCCGTAGCCAAGTATAGTCCCCGTATTTCCACGGGAGTTCACAGTATAAAGCATCAGTCACCATTCACATTGATTGAGATTGTTTTCCCCCAAACCAGAAAACTCCTGAGTGACCAGTAACTCAGGGCCGTCTTTGGAAGAAAGTGCCTTCTAATGACCAAGAATTGGTGTGTGTAGTTCTGTGTCCTCAGAGGGTGGGTTGAGGAGGAAACTGTACTTTGATGACAGCCGGCTGAGAAGGATGTTGAGGAGGCTGGTATGGGAAAGTAGCCATGGCAACAGAGCTCAGACCAAGTTGCTGGAAGGACTTCACGGAAGCTTATGTTTATAGAGAAAAGAAAGGAAGGCGTCTGCTCCTTTTCAAGCCTGACCATATGTTCTACGTGCCCTAGTAAAGAGCAGATGAGAAAGATGGGGTGGTTGATGTTGAAGGTTATCATTTGTAAATGACACCATTTTTTGTTCATTTTCCTTTTCTGGATGAAATTTCATGTGCAAGGCAATAAATGAGTGAAAGAGATACATAGTTTCCATGTCTGGCTTTTTTTGGTTCCAAAATAATGTTTTTCATAGAAAGAAGATATTAAGTTATTGCCTGAAAAGAATAGTAGCTATAGCTTTCTTTTTGTAGATTTGGAAACCTAATCTCAGAGAAATTAAGAGACGAGTCTAAGCAGACAGAGGATGCCAACAGGGTCTCCTCAGGTCCAGTCGTGGATTTGCTGTAATGAACTTTAGACTGTCTTCTTCATTTCCAGAATGGTTATAGTAATTGGTCAGATGAAACTATAACCCACCTGAGAACAACACTCAACTGGCCTGTGCAAGTTTTAACCCTGTATAGGTTTGGAATTTGAGGTGTGACTGAAATAAAAAGTTGAATGAAGGTAGAAAACTCTGAGCTACTTCAGAGACAGAGGACTCTGGGGGAGGCCACACCCTTTTTCCCTCACATTCCCAGTTCCAAAAAGAGTCACTGTGGCCTATGAGCTCACTTCTTAAATAGGAAAGCCAGGGCCTGAGCATCTGGCCTAGCAATGCTGCGCTAGTCATATCCAGGTGGGAATATATAATAGCTAATGGAATTTTCTACCTGGCAAATTCTGAGGCCAAGGCAAGTGAGCATCAAGTAAGTGGTGGCAAAGAAGACGTTTTGTTTTATTATTCTCCTTTAATAATTTCTCATGTATATTTATCCAATGTAGCAACAGAACTCATAATTAACATTACTTTCAATCTAAAGTTTGAAATGATGACATTTTATTTATTTATTTATTTTGGTTTTTCGAGGCAGGGTTTCTCTGTAGCTTTGGAGCCTGTCCTGCAACTAGCTCTTGTAGACCAGGCTGGTCTCGAACTCAGAGAGATCTGCCTGCCTCTGCCTCCTGAGTGCTGGCATTAAAGGCATGTGCCCACCACCCAGCAAAATGATGGCATTTAAAATGAAAGATAGTAATAGTTAAAGTGTACTGTGAATTGATGAGTCCCAGAATAAGTTCCTTCCTATGTTGTCAAATATAACAAACTTGATGATATCAAAGCTTTGTCTCTGAAATTTTTATTAATTTACTTCTCAAGGATCAAATAATTGGATCTCAATTTTGAGGTACATGGTTTCCAAAAAGAATAAAAATTTGATTGAAATTACAACAAGATCTGACCAAACCAACTATGGGATAACATCTTTCTAGTTGATCTGAAAGTTGAAGAAATTATTTTTATAGCTTTTTGGTTATGAAAATGATCCAGAAACTTCCTCTAGCAAAGCTATGGGAAATCAATAGTGAAAACAGGACCATAATAGAGTCTAATCAGAGAGTACAGAAAGAAGGAAAAAATCTGGAGATGACATCGTAATTTCAAACAAAGAAGATCTGTACT